CACACCCTCTCTCTCTCTCTCTCTCTCTCTCTCTCTCTCTCTCTCTCTCTCTCTCTCTCTCCCTCTCTCCCTCTCCCTCTCCCTCCCTCCCTCCGGCCTTTCTTGGTCGCCTCCTTTTCCCCGGAGAAAGCCTCCTGAATATCTGATGCGCCTCTCCCATCTGTCTCCTAATCTGTTAGGTGAGGCAGAAGAGTCAGGCGGCGTGAAGTCCTCGGTGTCGGGGCAGTCCTCCCGTCCCCTTGGGAGTGATTCCCTTCCCCCTGCTTCTTATCTTTTCATAAAAGAGGAAACCAAAGATTAGTACCTCTTGAGAGGGCAATTTTAAAAGAAGTAAAGGGAGGGGAGAGGGAGGGAGAGGGAGAGGGCGGCTGGCGGCATTGGACTTTGTCAGTTCTTCTTCGGGCAACTTCTGCTTTTCCCTTTCTTTCTTTTTAACCCCTTCCCTTTGCCGTCAGAGTTACTCCTCGGCTTCCAGTGACACAGACGCTGCCCTTCCCAATGCTGTGTCCCGCTAATTTATTACTCGCAAAGCCTCCACCGCTTCGGTTTTTTAGATGATGAGACTGGCTCTGATTAGGATTAGCGAAGTGACAAAACAAAAACCACGGGGGCAGCTCCCACCGTCCGGTGGCCTTTGTGTATCCCCGGGAAACCCCCAGCCCGGCTGAGGGGGCGAATTGTCAGGAGCTGCCTCCCTCCCCTCCCCTCCCCTCCCCTCGCCTCCCCTCCCCGTCGCCCCACGGCGGAGGAGGAGCTGGGTCGCTCCCCCTCGCTCCCCCTCGTCCGCGCTCCGTGAAGCGACCGGCAGCTGCGGGGAGGAATTCCCTCGCGGGAGTCCCTTCGCTTCCTTCTGACCCCTCCGAGGAGCGCGGTTTGTTTAACCGACGGCTTCAGCCTCGGCAGAAATGCCCGGGGAGCCTAGACGAAGCCAGGTTGCCTTCGGCGTTTGAAACACAGCGCCGAACATTTCTCGTTCTCGAAAGGACGGGTTTCTTCTTTTGCCCCCCTTCCACATCAGCCCACAATAATAGGTATCCGATGATTTAAAAGACCCCTTGCCAACAGGATCCATGCGACTTCTTAAGGCGCTTGGACCAATCGCCCAGCTCTGTGCAGCGATCTTCCTCATGGCTGGTTTATTATGGATGGCACCGGCACCGTCTTTAGTTTTGCACTCCTTCTCCTTTGTAGGTACAGCTATCCTTGGGTCTTTTCTCTCTTCATTCTGGGAGTTTGCTGAGTCTCTTAGGTGCATTTAGTTTTTGATCCATTGATCCCACATCACAAATGAAGTTCTAAGACTAAGAGGGAAAATATGAGTTGGCATAAGACAACCCTTCCCTTCTCCCCATGGCAGCACAGCTTTTTGAGCCTAGAGAAAGGCAGTACTGTACTAGGAAATGCTTCCCTCTGAATTATATCTGAAGCCAGTCTCCCTGCCTTTACAGGCCCACAACAGAAGCCAGGCAGGGAGAACTCAAGACTGGTTGCAAGACAGTTCTGAGTGGAGCATTTGGAAGAGCT